AGATACCTTCAGGCATAGTGCAAATCAAACAGAGCAGAACAGAAACAACCAAAACAAAACATTGCATGCAAAAAAGGACTTCAAAACAGGACAATAGTAAATCCAAAATGACTACCATAATGTATCTTGCTATCTTTGAAATAGCTGCACTTTTTAAGCTTTCTTGTGTCTTTCTTTTTTTTTTCGGTTTTTGCATTCTATGATAAATTGGTGCTTTCTCTAATTCACTGGTTTAAAGTTATGCCAATTCATTATACAAGTGGTTTGATTTAAAAATGTACTTGATTGAGCTCCTTTCCTCTAATTGTCAGTGTCAAAAATCAATGCCATTAATAAACCCTACCTGTGAACAATGATTGTCTTTTCTTTTTCTCCTTTGTTTTCATAATTTTCCAACTTTAGTTTTAATAATCTGGGATCTTAGATGTACATTTTAAACGTTATATATGTGTGTGTGTGTGTGTGTGTGTGTGTGTGTGTGTGTGTGTGTATACATGTATATATATATATATATATATGGCCTTTAAAGACTAAATTTGATATTTGAACAGATTTATAATCATATTAATAATAGTTGTTCAGACTTCTGTGTCTTATAAACTGCATTGCTCACATCATGGAGAAACAAGTTTCTTATTCTCACTCTGATTATACACCAGGGGAAGCCAGAAAATGTTCACATATTTCAGGAAGATTTCATAGTCTTTAAAATGCCAGGGTCCCCTCAAAATTCATATTCTAACATTAGGAAGTGGGGCTCTGGGGTGGGCTAGGTGATGAGAGTGAACTCTTGGTGAATAGGAGTAGGGCTGTTGTAAGGGACTAGAGAGGCCTGAGGTCCTCCCTTCATTGTGTGAGGAAAGATGGGAACATCATCATCGTCACTGTCCAAGGAGATGGCAGTCAGCCACGCCTGACCAGGCTGGCACCAGCTCTGGTACTGTCAGCTTCAGAATGGTGAGAAATACATTTCTGTTGTTTATAAGGCACTCAGTCTGAGGCATTTTGTTATAGCAGCCCGAATGGACTAAAATGTCACTGGATTTGTTCATTGCAACTCCCAAATATTTCTACCTTACTTGCAAGGGAGATTCTTTGATACATTAAATAGTGTTTTCTTCTCTTCCTTAAATTTATAAAGGAAGAAAGTCTTTACTTGTCCAGCATAGACATGTGAAGTTAATTCTGCATAAGAACATTAAGGCTCATATCTTTCTAGTCCAAACTAAGAGAAAGGGGACTATTTTGAAAAGAATATGATATTTGTTAAGACTTACATCCCCGCCAAAGCATCATGTGGACATAGGTGGGGGAGTTTCAAAGGTGACTGGACTGAGCTGTACGAATGTGCATTCAAGGTGTGATGCTAGGGTGACAGGCATGGTTAATGGAAGCCCCACTCTGGGTGTGGGTGGCACCAATCAGTAGACTTCCAGCCTGGGTGGAACACAAGGGACAGAGGAAAGCCAAGCTTGCTGCTTCTTGTTGCTGCCTTCCATCTGTCCTGCTATCCTATGAGCTATTTCTCCTCTGTGATTCCCCCTCCACCATACTGCCCTGCTTTGGAACCTGCTGATTGGACTGAAACCTCTACAAACTGTGACCCAAAATAAATTTTTCTTCCTTTAACTTGGAGTGTTGGGTGTTTTGTCTCAGCAGCGAGAAAGGTAGCCAAGACAGTATTCTTTGCTCTTTGAAAATGAGCAGGTGGACACTGCAAAGAAGTTCTAGAACAAATGGTGATTAGAGCAAGGAACTTCATCAATGTATTCCAGAAAAAGCTTATTCATATTTGGTGTGGCAAATGGAATCACTCAGGCCATGCAATCTTCTTGTTGTCTGGAAAAACTTCCCTTCATAGGGGTCAATCATACAAGTGTAATCATCCACATGTAACACTGAAAGGAAGTTGCCCCCCAGTGGCTCAAAGTCTTGGGGCTTGCAGTGCCTGGAGAAGCTCCAGGAGGCCAAAGAGGGATCAAAGGAACCCTGCAGAGGCTCTGTCCATTATACTGTCTGCCTAGGCACTCTCCTCACCAAGGAAGGTGCCATCAGTTTTTAATTTCTTCTCTGCAACGTTTGGGGCCAGCTGTGTTTCAGAACTGAGAGAAATAGATGCAGGAGGGAGTCTGTGACAACAGGAAAGAGTTTTGCAGAGTGACTGTGGAGTGCCTCCACTGATCCAGGGAGCTGGATCTTCTGGTCAGCCAAGGTTAAGGGAAGGGCAAAAGTAACACATCAGTTCTTAGGTATTTGCTGCACAAAGTGGATTCCAGACGCCTGAGGTGCTGTGTTGATCCTGGGAAGTGAATGCCCATAAAATAAAATTATACAGATCCCACGCTTCTGGGCCAAGCACCATTCCTACCCAAAACATACATTCTGAGAACCTCATAATCAAGCATCCGGTAACTCCAGAAATGAAACACACATCCTGCATTCAAACATAGGAAGAGTCCCAGGAAGTGGGTCAAAGAGTACAAAGTAATAGAAATCATCTCAGGGCATTTTCATACTTAAGTATATTGGTATAATAAACTAGTTGGTAAAATAATGTGGAGTACTCTCATATTTTTGCTAAGGAATCATTTAGTATAACTTTTTAGAAACCATATGGACACACATAATGGGATTGAGTCAAGTGCTGGATGAAACCATTCACTGCAAGATGGCTTTGGATGGCTTCTCCCATGTGCTCACTCTTGATAGCTGTGTTTCTAAGCAGCCTCAAGTATTGTGAGTCACCAAGTCTTACAGGTAAATGTCTGTTGTGTGAGGCAGCAACTAACTTGTCATTCATGATTCTTGCGCTGACCATGATGCATGTCATTCAGATTACATTCTGCAGCCAACTCAGCTTTGGTACTAATCTTGAAAGTGAAAGCTGCATTTTTGTTGAAGCCTGCTTCCATCTGGGAAAGCCAGTGTGACCACTTGGGTCTGCAGGAAGTTTCATTGAGACCCCTCCCAGCACTACCCAAGCAAGCTGTCTCCACCCACAAGGGGAGGGCACCAAGAGCTTCTCCTCCACCCAAGATTATCAAGCCAGCAGAAACCCCTTGTTTCTGGGTGCAAGTGCCGGCCTTACAGCATGGAGGCAGGTTCTGCTTTTCTCCCCAGTGGAAATTAAAAGAGAAGAAATTACACATTCATTCTCCATCATCTTCCTATCCAAAGAGTTCTGTATATGGCATCCAACCCTGGAAGTGTCTGGAGGTGCACACTTTCTGACAAGGTATCCTGCTTTGCTAATCAAGATCTCCACAGCTTCCAGAAAGAGCAAAGTTCTCTAACATGCACTCCCTGTGCCTGCCAGTGTGTTTGTAGTTTCATACAGTGAATTACACCCTTCACTAGGCAAACTTTCTAAAGCTTCTGTTTTGTGCTTTATCATTTATGGCTCAAGAGTAATTTATCCATTGTTTGTTGATATCAATCAATCAATCACAGACATACAAGCATCACTTAGTTTTTTTGTTTGTTTTGGTTGGGTTTTTGGTTTGATTTTCTGTTATTTTTGTTTATTTGTTTGGTTGGTTGGTTGGTTGTTGGTTGTTTTTCTTAACTCAAAACCTTATGCTTGCCAGGCAGGTGCTGTGTCACTGAGCCATATCCCCAGCACAAGCACTGCTTTGGTCATTTGGAAATCAGAAGCAATGAAGGTTTTGTTTTCTGCATCTTGGGGACACAGCACTAATCCATCACTATGCCTGTCATATTGGAAATGGTTCATTTATCTATAGATAGAGATACCTATCTATTTTTCCTGGTTCATTTTAACCAGGAAAACATAAACTTACGAAAAATAGAAAAATTATGTTTCCCTCTTGCATATCATAAAAAACAAACTCTGAACGTCTATTAGTATGTCCAATACAAATGATGGCCTGAGGAAACTTGAACTCACTAGTGGTGGAAGCTTTAGAATCAATGAAGGGTTATGGCTTGGTGGCTTTATCTAGATATCTCCCCAAAGCCTCATGAAGTAATAGGTGAGGCTTTCTGAAGGTGAATGAACCTAGAGTGTGCAGTGTTGAGATCAAGGATGAGAGCTGGGGTTGGCTCAGTGTACGATGCTAGGATTTAAGGGTATGAGACAGACCGAGGGCTGCTGTCATTGCTCACTGCTTGTCACTTGCTGCTTGCGGCCTTCTGCCTTCAGCCCACCATGAACTGTTTCTCCTCAGCAACGTCCCTCTGCCATGCCACTCTGCCTTGGAACCAGCCAACGGTGAACTGAAGCTTCTACAAATTGTGAGTCTAAGAAAGCGTTCCTCCTTTATCTTTTGGTATTTTGTCTCATCAGTGAGAAAATTAAGACAAAAAGTGAACAAGAAACCAGGCTGGAAAGAACTCCCACCTACACAGAACCTGAAAACACCTCACAAGTAAAAAATCAGCATACTTTCAGTGAGACTTTAAATTTTATCTCAAGCTTTCATATCATTAGCAACTCAAATCTTGGACAAAGAAGAGCTTTAGGACCAGCACCCAGGATAGAAAAGTCTTTATTGCCAGACAGCCCCGAAGTCACTGGTTCTGGATCCAGTTTTAGAAATTTTTTTCACCTGTAAAAACCCAATTGCTCGTCACTGACCATCTACCCTACTGGTTCATTGTAAAAACACCCTTGAAAACACTGAACACCATACTTGATACAGAACTGACACACAGCAGAGGCTGCTACCATTGGTAGGAGACAAATATTCCCAGCTTCTTGCAACTAATGAAATTTGCCAGGCATTTTGTCTTCTGGTCTGCAGCATTCTCTACCGCAGTTGATTGGAAACACAGTTTTCTTCCTGACAGTGCCCAGTGAGTCATCAATCTATGGGATGTCTCTGTTGCACAATGCTTTCTCTAGAACAAATGTTATCCAATCAGTCAAAAGCCCCAAATATTTTTTGAAAACTTTTTAAATTTTTTTATTTTATGTACAAAGAGTTTGCATTGTTTCTTTCACTGAGCAGATGTCCCGGATAATTCAGCAAAAGAAGATAAAAAATATGGGATGCTTTACGAATGTGCATGTCATCCTTGCACAAGGGCCATGCTAATCTTTTCTGTATCATTCCAATGCCAAAGCAAGCATACTTCAAATATTTTTGAAGGATGCAGTGTGCAGACTGTGCAGGTACCATGCTGACCTCCATATCGTTCCAGTTTTAGTATATGTGCTCCCGAAGCAAGCACCCTTCAAATGTTTTTGAAGGATACAGCGTACAGAGTAGCAGCCGGGTCAACATGGCTAGAGTTCATTGTTCATGGGTGTAGTCCATTGCATCCATGTGCCTGACACAGAACCAGGAGCAGAGGATCCAATTCATATATGGTCCCTGTGTTCAGAAAAGCAAGAAAAAGCAAAGGGACGAGACAAGCAGTGCCAAACACTCCAAGAGAAATGTAAAATTACGAAAGCTGGGGCATACGAAGACCAGCATTGGAGCTAAGCCTTGAAGATGTGAAAAATATGAAAGAGAAACTGGAGGTAAAGGTTGGGGGAACATTGCCTGTCATCAGCAGAATTATCAGGAAAAGACAGAGCTGACTAAACAGAGCCCAGCGGTCAGGTTGGCTTCCACAGCTGGGCATGACTATGTCCACCTGCTACATGGCAGTGTGTGTGCACAGGTGGTGTTGGGTCTTGTTCTCTCCATGCATTTGGCTTCTCACTTGTCTCTAATATAAATCAAAAGCCATTCAAAGGGAATTTGACTCTGCAGACAGCTGAAAGTTGAGTGGCTAAAAATCCGTTGATATTGATGCTTCCCCTTGAGCAAATTTTATGCAATCTGTTTCCATAACTTGAAAGAGGCCCTAAACATTTTTGAATGACCCAGAAAGAACAGGCCTCAGAATCTTAATCTTCTCCCTCGCCAGCTTCCGGTATAGGGACCCAGCACAGATGATCACTGTTGCTGCCAGCAGTCTTCAGCAGAGTGCATTCCAGAAAATTTCCCCACATGGAACATCTTTGACTCTCAGATATTTCATTACTGATTGAGCCTTTCCTGTCTGTGCCAACCACTATGATTAAAATGCATCCAAAGTAAACCTCAGACAACTGAGCCTTCCTTAGCAACGTGGGGGGCACTCAGTGTTAGAGGGTGGTCACCCCAAGTCATTGCAAACGTTGCCCCAGGTGCTCAGCAGCTGGCTCCAAAGGCTCATGAAATTCCATCCTTTCAATTCACAACACATTGAAAGGTAACCCAGAGAAGCCAACAACCCCATCCCACCTGTGGAAATTAATGGGGCCAGCTCAGCGTATTGGCAGAGAAAAGAAATTTACACACCAAACAAATCTGCTGAAAAATTGAAAATATTTGCCTAACAGAAGCACATTGATTAAAGTCCCTCCAAGATCAAATTACTCTCCCAGCCCAGGCAATTTCACCCTGGAGGGCCACAGACTTCTATTGGCAAAGTATTGATGGAAAGCTCTCGTGGCCTCGAGATGTACCATATTAGGGGTGTTAATCTCAGAAGTAGCCCATAATTTTTCTCCAATGCCCAGACTCTTCATTTGACAGAGTTTAATTCCAATGCAAACAGTAATAAGGAAATAAAATCATTGATGTATGCCTTTCCAATATCCGTCCTTGGTAAGAACTTTTTATTTCTCTGGTCAATTAAGGTTCATGTTAAGTAAAAAGTCAAGCATATTTGGATAGATTTCCAAGGTTCCTTGGTTTCTCAAGCCCTCCACTATTCAAAGAAAGGCCCAGGCAAAGTTTTAACCACAAGGCAAGCAAATCACCAACGAAATATGTTTAGTGTGAAAGTTGTAACAAAGCCATTCTAAGAAGGGTTCCTAGGCTGATACAGGAAAAAGGACATTTGAAGGCTGGTTCAAGATCACTACTTAAGGAAGTTCTTCAGCTGTTTCAAGAGGCTGGATAACATCTCTTTGGGTCCTTACAGCTGCCCATCTGAGACACTAATTCTCGAAACAATCCTGAAAATAACCATATCCAATTGCATTAGGGTTTTAAATCCAAGAATGGGCAACTTTGTGAAGCAAGCACCTCTGCTCTTAAGATTAGCAGTGACAAAACAAGATCATCTCACAGTCTGATCCTTGCAAGCACATGCTGGAAAAGAATCCTCCAAGTCAGGAGTAGTACTGGTCTCTGAGAGGCTGAGACAGGAGGACTGCAAATTTACTCTCAGCCTGGACAATTTAGCAGTCTACCCTATCATTGTCTCAGAATCAAAAAATACAAATAAAAATGTTAAAAAGGGTTGCAGATTTAGCTTAACACAAGGTCCCAATGTCACAAAAAAGACTCCAGTGTGCGCTTCTGACCCCCCACATACCCAAACTGCTGTAAATGTAAGACCCAAGGGCCTGAGTATAGCAAAAGGAGGAACTTGAGGGCCAACTAACCGCATGTATTCTGCTTTGGCTCCAACAAACAGGACTCGGGCTGCCTACCATGTCATCACAGAGCGCTTGGACACGAGTCTACATGCTGGGCTTACAGCTGCAATCACCTTTCTTCTTCACTCCCCTGTGAGCCTCCAGGCTCTCCCCGCTACTCAGCCATCTGCCGCCAGCCTAGGACAGCACTCACAAACTGAAGGACCATGTCAGTGACTGTGCTAATAAAGTACCCACATGGGCGAAAGGCAAGCACTCTGCACTCAGCCAAAATTAATGGGTGCCATTTGCCACCCAACTGCCTGCCCTTGGAGACAGTACGGAAACCCCTCACCCCATGCATATGCACACACGTATAGGTCATACACGAAGGAGATTGTAACAGGACGTGTGTGGATTTGGGAAGGTTTTTATTTATATTTGCGCATCGAGAACTTGGGGGAGACAGAAGGGAATAGGCAAGTGGGATATGGGGATATAGAAGGTATGGGGGCAACAGATGAGGGAAGGGGAGAAGACACCAAGCATAAGCACTAGTTTTAGGTCCTGTTCTGGGAGCTTGTCCTTTTCTATCCCATTTAATCATATCACACTACATAGCACAGTCGGAGGTTCGTTAAAATCATACAGGTGTTGAACTCCAACCCAGATGAACTGGGGGTAGGACATGGGCATCTATGATTTTTGCAATTATCCCCAACAATTTCAGTAAGTAGTGAATATTTGATAGTCACAATACCTGAAAACTTCCAAATTCCCTTTCAACTATTCTACTGTGAATAGTAGTCCACCTGTACCCTACGACTCTCAACCTACTAAGCTAGGCAATAAAGTGTCAACCAGAGAAATGGGATCTTTGCTTTCCATGATTCATTCAAAAAAGGAGAAAATTTGAGTGAAATTTTGCTTTCCTAAGCTCTTTAAATTCCTAAGCCTTGTTTTAGTCCTGAAAATAAGAGGTCATATATCTTACAAGATTTACCATTTTTCAGATCAGAATATTTTTTCCTTCCATTTTTGTCTAGATGTGCAGGTACTATGGGAGTGTAATTCTGGTTTGATGATGGGGTTAAATGAACAACAAAGTGTCATTCTGAAGTGGTTTTTTTTGGGGGGGGGGGCTTAGGAGAAAATGCACACTCGAGTTCCTGACAATTGATGTGCAAGGTTCCAATTTAAGTTGCAAATTGTTCCCATTACCCAGGTATATGAGCACTTAGAAAATTCAATATGGGCCCTGCCACCCTTGGACCTCCACCTCAGAGCATGGGCTACTTCTGTGCCACCCTCCCAACGTTGGGGACACCCCTCTCCTCCTGGGCCTAGTATTACTGTTGATCTTTAGCTGCCACTCCTCCTCCCAGAACCTTAGGCTGCAGTGGATTAACTTTGCTGGGTTGATAGGAGACTCAGTAACCCCTCATCCAAACAGAGGACCTCAGTAGGCTTCCATCAGTGTGGTAAGTTTGGCCCTAAAACAGAAGTCTTCAGTGGGTAAACAGGAGCAATAGCGAAGTCCTCTCCAGCTGTAGAACCTTGGTGAGCTTGGCAGAATATTTGAGTCCTTCCTCCACACGGAGAACATCAGGTGGATTGAGGAGTGTGCCAATAAGGCCTCCCAAAACCTGGATGAAAGGAAAAGCGTTTATAAGACACCCAGTGACACAGTAGGGTCCCAGCCAAAACAAACACTATAGACAGGGAGATCTGGTGGCCTGGAACAACCTGAAGACATAGTAACAGCAGGAACTAAGGACTGACTTACATCAATACTCCTAGGCTAATCAGCTTAGGAAAAACTATAGGACTCACTCATCAGATCCTGCAGGAGAAATTCAGGTGACTGGCCCTCCTCCTTATTGTGGTACCCAGAAATTGGACACAACATCAACCACAGTAGGACCCTAAGTTACACAGTGCTGACAGTTGAGACTAGTGAGATTGAAAAACCAAATACTGGCCCAAAGGTGAAAATAACAAAATGAAAAAGCAAAACGCAATCTCAAACATCTAGTCCACCAGGAGCAAGTACAGGAAACACTGAAATAGAGGACTTTAAAAGTCACACATCTGGAATCTCTGAAAAGATACTAAGTGAGATAAAGAAGCAAATCTATGAGGCTATAAAGGAAATCAAATTAGAAATAGTTTATCACATAAAGACAGAAATAATCTTAGTAAAGTTAATCCACTTAGTAAAGGAGTTGCTCACCATAGCTAGAGAAGACCTAGATAAAAAAAAAAAAAGGACAGGAGCGTGGGAAATTGACTGAAACCTTGAATGAACAATATAGAAAACAAGTTGAATGAAACAAATTCAAAGAGACATCCAGGAAACAAAAATTCTATTGAAAGCTGACAAAACCATTTAAATGAAGCCAAGGATAGCAATTCGGACCTTAAGGACAGGATCACAGCTAGTGATAATGAAAGGATAAAACTTTTAAAAATAAAGCAGTATGAAATGACAATTGAACAGGGTCAAGATGATGCCAAGAGAAACAATATAAGACTAACAGGCATCAATGAAGGTGCAGGAGTCAACATGAATGACATCAGTAAATTATTAACCAAAGTAAAAACAAAAAATTTCCCAAACATGGGGAAAGACTCTGAATGCAGATAAGTGAGGCACATAGAATGCCAAACAGCCACAACCAACATAAATCTACACCCAGACATATAATAATTAAGATCTCAGACATACAGCATAAAAACA